CTAGAACATTTTCTTGCGTAATTCGTACACCCAAGGGCAGAAGGATTTAATCGCCGTCAGGTCCGAAGTCCATACGCCGCCTCAGCTCTGCGGATGTCTCGGGGGTATGGCAAAGTAGAATCGATTTTTTAAAATTTCTTTTGGTGGGTAGAATCCCATCATATCCACACTGAAGATTTTTCTTTCTTTCTTTTTCTTTCTTTCCTTTTTTTTCTTTTCTTTTCTTTTTCTTTTTCTTTTTCTTTTTATTTAATCCATTTTTATTAGATAGTTTAAATTTTCAACGATAAGGCAATCTTTTTAGAGAAAATATATTCATTCCTAGTCGATTGCTTATAAGCCTGTATAAGTTCGTTTTCAGTTCGAGCTCGCAAGGATCAGTGGGTGGTGCCGTGAAGACGTCTGGGTCTATTGCACAATTTTCTGCATTTTTTGACAAGGAAAATCAACAGCCACTCCAGTAAATAATTTAATAACGAAGAATGGTAAAAAGATAAGAAAATGAATTGGTGTGTTTCTGACTGAAAACATTGGGATATTTGATCTTGTTGCGTCATGGCGCAAGATCAAATTCCCAAGTAGTGTGACATGCATAACGCAAAACTGTTTATTTTATAAATAGAACCTGCAGTTATTTTAATATTATGTAGAGAACACCTTAAGGGAGAAGATCGTCTTAGACGATTTAAACGAAATCATTCCATGTTTTCTGTGAAACATTCCAGTATCATTTGACAAACATTGCAAACCGTTCTTCAACTGTACTATTTCTATCATGTACTATCATGCACAGATACAGGCAACCCAGTGAACACCTATAGGGCGTCTTGTTCACTTAGTGACATGAGAAGTTTAAGTTGTTTCAAGCAGTATTATATTATATTTATAGTATAAGTCAGAGAAAAAGAATAAAGTCATTTTGCAATTCTCGAATTATTCACCAAGTGACTCAGTATAAGAGTTTTAAATTCATGGAATGAAAATTTTCACTGACAATAAAGTTGAATTAAATATAGTGTAACACTGGCGTCAGCACTCACCTTTAAAGTTTCCGATACTTGTCATGATGTCGGTAAGCAAAATTGTGTGACCCAAGTCATTCATTCCAGTAAATACTGTTGTTGAGAGGGAGAAAGAGAATAAAACTGCTGGTTTTCATTGAACAGAACCGACCAAAATGTTGCTTTGCTGTTGTGCTAAAGTAATCGGAAAGTATCAAAGATGTTAAAACTTCGCGTTTCTTGCTCCCATTCTCAACTTTTTGACCAACTTTTCGATAGTTCTACATTGCTTATAAACCCTGACATAATTATAAGCCAATTATACACAAATTGTTTCTCTCTTGAAAAGATTATTTTCTCAAGTTTCTCGCCTTTGCTTCGTGTGTCTGTTCACTTGTTCGCTTTTACGAAAGCCTCTCGTCTGTGATTGGTCGGTTTTTCCCGCCAATTCGGATAAAAATAGTAAAACACGTCATATACGTACGTGATAACAGTAACTTGAAAAACTCTTAAGATTTAAAAAATCTAGGTCCTTTTTAATAGAGCAATTTTTTATTTCATTTAACCTAAATTGATTGATCCTAAAATAACGATTTTTTGAAAAACTTATTGCTAAAAATTTCGAGAGGAAAATAAGATCAACCTCGTAAAGATTTCTGGGACCAAAACATCAGAGTGAGGTTTTCAAAATGGCCGACGAAGTAAGTAAGAGGCATTGAAAACAGCTGAAGTTTTCAAATTATTCTCCCTTCTATGAAGGACGCAGAAAGTTGAGTTGGCCGACAGTTTAGGGCTATAGGTATCGTAGAAAGTCTAGTGCCTTTTGTACCTTGTTTGGACCTTTGGATTACACGTATTCAATGAATTAATCAACACTGGTTTGCGTTTCTTTACAAAAATATGGTTATTTTGTCCTAGTTTCTCTACCATAATATTGATAATGTTAAGTAATCGAAAGGCTTGAGAACGATTTATGTATTATGAATAAAACCATGGAAGATGAATCAAACTTAGAAATAGAAGAAGAGGAAGAAGGAGAAGGAGAAAAAATGGCTGAAGAACTAGATCAGGAGACATTAGGACCAGTAGCAAGCCATAAGACAAAAAGCTATGGTATTTCTATTGACTCATCGCGTATCAGAGCAGTACCTGTAGAAGAACAATCCTCAGTGTTGAGAGGATTAGGGATTGATGTATTTAACCAAGAGGAGTTTGAAGAGGGAGTATTGCAGCAGGTTGATGAAGCTATTGCAGCAAAAGAAATGGAAGCACTTGTTAAAAGTTGGGAAAAGCAATTAAAATCTGTAGAGGAAGAAATCAGGTGAGTGATATCACTTGCCCATTTTCTCCACAGGGGAGGGTTGAGAAGCAGTTCTACATGGACTGTACAGCTGTATTATGTTAGTCTATGTTTGCATTGTGGTATGGTGACCCTAGATCTTTGGTGTCCCCAGTGGAAGACAACAGATTTGTTTAGTACAGTGACAACCTTAGGAAGTGCAGAAAGTACTCAAGAAGTGAGAGGAGCACTTRCCTATGGCTCATAATTCTCATTACACTTCTTCTGTGCCTTTGTTCATTTGACCTTAGCACCAGCGTGGTACTGACTATCTTTAGAAGTAAGTGCCAAAAGTACTCAAGAAGTGTAATAACAGATGGCTCATGCTTCTCATCATACTTCATTTAATGTAATTAATGAATCCCCTATTACTCAATGGATCACAGAAAATGCTGTTTTATATTTCTTAACAATAGTATGCAGAGTTAGGCCATAAAAATGCAACTTATTCACATATTCTACTATAGGACCACCATCCAAGAGATTGACCAAACAGAAAGGATTCTCAAAGGAATTGAAGCATCAGAAATCAGTAGCTATGAATCACGAAGACGAGCAGAATCAGTCAGAAGACAACATGACAACAAGGTGAAAATAAGACTGCTTTAAAGATGATGCTTGTCCATATAGAGAATATTTTTTCCTTAAAAAATCCAAGTACATACTGATTTATTATTTAGTTCCTAAAATACACATTAACTATAGTTTATGAATGATTCTGTTATTGGTGTTAATATTGATATCTTTTTTTGTAGTTGAAGCAGTTGAAAAAACTTGAGGCCACACAAAAATCTCTGCAGAATAAGATTGGTCTTGATGGAGAGGAAGAAGAAGTGGAAGTAGAATATGATGATAAAAAATGTACTGTAGCAGAAGGTATCATAATTATGATAAATGTTAGAAAATGTCTCTCGCTAATGGTCACCTAAGGAATTAAGGGTTTCGTCAAAGGGGCAAATAAAGCTTTGTTACAGTAATGATGTCGATTGATATTAACAGCTCACTACAAGAGAATACAACAAAAAATGAATTAAGACAGCACATCAATCAATTTTACCCATAAAAGAAAGACAAGCACATGTAACTCAATATATATTTCGTCATTGTTTTGTTTTGCCCCCTGACAAGATGGCCACTTTATCATTGAAGTTGCCCATTCAAGCTTCATTATAGAATTAGAGTCAGAGGTTTGATAGCCACTGGCTGTTAAGTGCTGTCCTTGATTTATTGCTAAATAATTATTTTATTAACTCTTAGGGCATGAGAAAGATACTGGTCAAACCAGTATTTTGCAGAACAGACTTCAAATAATGAAAGAAATTGAGCAAGAACGTGAAAAGTTGATCCAAACAGGACAAATGACACCTTTTGGAGGGTTTGTCAGTGTCCCTGGTACTTCAAAAGCACAAGACATATATGAGGATGAAGCTGACGAGGTTAATGACAACAATGATGACACAAATGACATTTGTCAATCACCTGTCGAAGTTGACAGTGATGAATACATCCCTGATGAGCAGGAGTTGCGTGATAGCTGGTACGACAATAAACCTTCAAGCACCAGAGCAAGCATTAGGAAATTGAGCAAACCTTCCTTGAAGAAGAAGCAGACCATTCCATCTTCAAATGTACGATACACAGAGGATGATGCTGTGGAAATCAAGTCTAAGAAGACAAAAAAGAAGGTTGTTGATAGGTTTAAGAGCAAAGCTGTAGATGATGGGGATGATAATTTGTTTAGGAAAAGAATAAGGTACAGTATATGCATATAATATTGTATGCAAACAAATATAACACTGATGGGGAATAGTGGTGATTTTCATCATAATATGTTATTAAATAATGATTAATGTCAGTAAATGTTGATAATGATGATGATAATAAGCCATCGTTAGCAAATGAAGATGATGATGATGCTTTTTTTGATCGGAATAATAAACATGTCATGATTATGATAATGATTGTGTAGTTCCAGAAATTATCCATACCCTTCTCATGGAAGAATTTTTTTAAAAGAGCCCCCCACCCCCTACCCCCAGAAATTCCAATTTCAGTAGATTGGTTAGTAAAATCGCTGATGATATACTAACATTTGTACAATGTTTTTGTAAAGAGTCCTTGTCTTGTGCTATTTCTTAGACATGAACGAATCCAGAAACTACTGAAAGAACAAGCTAAACTAGATGCAAATGCTGAAAGTGACAGCGAGGAAGAGATGCCAGACATGGAGTTTGACAACAGGATGAAAATACCTGGGAATATCTGGCACAGACTGTATGCGTAAGTAGTTATGAGTATATATGGGTGTGTTGATATAAGTTATGGTAATGATCATTGATGATAATGCCTTTGTTGATGCTGATAATGAAGATTTTGGTGGCAGTGGTCGTGTAGGGTATAGGGTTTGAAGGACATGTTTATGGCAAGTAAGGCTGTGGAAAGTGAATGGGGATATTGGCTAATGATGATGATGATGGTGATGCTGATGGTCATGATAATGGTGGTCATGATGATGATGATGGTGCTGATCATGGTGATCATGATCATGGGGATGATGATGGTGATGAAGATAGTGGTGTTGGTGATGATGATTGTGGTGGTGATGATGATGATGGTGATAATGAGAATAATAATGATGTTGATGATGGTGAGGATGATGGCGATAATGATGACGATGATAATAGCAATGATGATACCTCTTCCCAGATACCAGCAAACAGGAGTCAAGTGGTTATGGGAGCTTCATTGCCAACAAGCTGGTGGTATTGTTGGTGATGAGATGGGCCTCGGCAAAACCATACAAGTGATAGCCTTTCTGGCTGGACTCAAATACAGCAACATAGGCTCCAAAAAATCCAGGTATTCCATTGTGACCTCAACAAATTTCAGACATTGTGTTAAAGCTACTTAAGAGTATTGTTAGATGGGCTTCCTGTGGTTTTCTTCATCTCTAGAAGAAGTATAGGTTGGGGTTCCTGTGTCCTCACGTATCAATGAGTGGGTTTCCTGTGGGTTTATTTGTCAATAAAAACATAGAAACTGCTTAGTGACTTTCCTGTGGCTTTTCTAACTAACTGCCTGAAAGTAGTATTGGTTGGGGTATTAATTTACAATAATTATTACTATTGGCAACTCTTAAAACTCCATTCATGTTGGCTTAGCCTCACTTCTGAAATCAGAAAACAAAAGCAGAAATCAAAATAACAAAACTGGCAACTCCTGGATTCAAGGCTAAACCTGTATACACTGGAGTTTTGAGTGAAATGGTTTGGGTTTCCTGTGTTTTCCATTATTCCTACAGTGTCAATGATACTCTTGTCTGTTTCAGGCATAGTCTAGGGCCAGTGTTAATCGTATGCCCAGTAACGGTCCTACAGCAATGGGTTGCTGAGTTTCACAAGTGGTCTCCTGAGTTTCGAGTTGCAGTACTTCACGACACTGGTTCTTACCAAGGATACAAGGTAGTTATGTCTTGTTTCATTTTTGGTCTTTTTGTGTTTTGAGTCTCATTCTGGTAATGTAATACTTTCGGCAATGTATTATTTTCAGACATAAAAATATAATAATGTCCTTCCCCCTTCCTTTCCTCACCTCTAATCTCCTCTACCATCCTCTCCTTACCTTGCTTCGCCTCGCCTCACCCCTTCCCTTCTCTCCTCTCTTTATAATTTAGTATATTTGTAATACTCATACCTATATTTTTAAATATGTTATTTTACTTATAGATATACATAGATATAGATATATATAGATATTTTTCTTAGTACAATGTGAATAACAAAAATTCCTGTTAATGTTCAATGCTTTAGCAATACCTGTAAATTGTAGGTCATGCCAATAAAGCTATTTCAAACCTTATCTCTCCTCTCCTCTCCTCTCCTCTCCTTACCTTGCTTCGCCTTGCCTTGCCCCTCCCCTTCTCTCCTCTTCTTATCTCTCCTCTCCTCCCCTCCCCTYTTCTCTGCTTGCCTTGTCTGGCCTGGCCTCTCTCACCCATCTCCCCTTGATTCTTATCTTTTGTCCTTTTCCTGAATGTGTAATGTGCATTTCTCACATTTCCAGGAGACCTTGGTCAGGAAGATTTGTCAAGCCAATGGTGTCATAGTGACATCATATTCTGGTGTGCGCATGAATGCTGATTGCTTATTGGCTCAACGCTGGGATTATGTAATATTAGACGAGGGACATAAGATTCGGAATCCGGATGCCGAGATCACTCTTATTTGCAAACAGGTTAGTTTTGCAAGTTGGAAAATTAACAACGTGTTGTTAAATGTAAAAAAACTGGGATAAGGTTGTCAGAAGTATCATATATAAGTTCATCCTTTTACTGCCCTCACAGTTTCGTACACCCCATCGAATCATCCTCAGCGGGACTCCAATGCAGAATAACCTGCGTGAGCTGTGGTCTTTGTTTGACTTTGTATTCCCGGGAAAACTTGGTACACTCCCAGTATTTATGACGGAATTCTCAGTGCCCATCACAACTGGAGGCTACGCTAATGCCTCTAGTATCCAGGTAAGATAACCTTCACATTTTCAAACTTTATTGATACCCTGAAGCAACGTCTAAGCTGAAGTAAGTCAGGGTATTTGCTAACTCACAGATCAAACCCTGAAACAACCTCTGCACTGATTAAAGTCGGTATGGTTAACTCACAGGTCGAACCTTGAAACAACCTCTGGACTAATCTAAGTCAGGGCATGGCTAACTCACAGATCGAACCCTGAAACAACCTCTGGGCTGATCTAAGTCAGGGCAAGGCTAACTCACAGAACAAACCCTGAAACCTCTGGGCTGATCTAAGTCAGGGCATGGCTAACTCACAGAACAAACCCTGAAACCTCTGGGCTGATCTAATTCGGTGCATTTTCGGTTTTTGTGGAGGGAGAAAACATGGGGGGAGAGAGAGTGCGTGAAAAGAGCCATGCGATAGAACTTTTAGGAGTGAGTGCTTAAATTGCCTATTTATCAGCTCGTAAAATTCACGGTATTTTCCCCTGTCACCACTCATAGGTTCAAACTGCCTACAAGTGCGCATGCGTACTGAGAGACACTATCAATCCTTATCTACTGCGAAGACTAAAGAAAGACGTGAAGATGAGTCTGGACTTACCCGACAAAAACGAACAGGTCAGACCCTCATGCTTTTTATGCAGTATTCGAATTTAAGGTTGACATTAACCATGCTTTTTGTTTTCTTGGTAACTTTTTTTTTTCTGTCGTAGGTTTTGTTCTGTCGGCTAACGGAAGAGCAGCGTGAGTTGTACCAAGAGTATCTAGATTCCAGGGAAGTCCAGTCAATTCTGGCTGGAAACTACAAGGTGATTAACCTAGTACTGTGAATGAAATTGCATAATCCACAATGAAATTCCGTAATCCATCGCCTGATTGATGGCATTTTGACCACCTCCCCTCCTTTTGTTACCCTTCTAACTTATAGCTAGCGCATTGCAAAATTTATAGTGTCTTTTATATTTCAGGTATTTCCTGGCCTTATAATGTTACGAAAGATCTGCAACCATCCCGACTTGACCTCACAAGCAGGTTCTCTGATCAAAGCCAAGCAAGACAAATTGAAAGCTGAAAAGGGTCTTCTCCAGCCCCCGGACGAGGATGACGGCTACGGGGACTGGAGACGAGGTGGGAAAATGATCGTGGTCGAGGCACTCTTGAAGTTGTGGAAAGCACAGGGACACAGAGTGCTTTTGTTTTCACAGACAAGACAGGTAAATCCTTATCGATTCAAAAGAATACCAGCTGATCTGAGAGAAAATCAACTTCTAAATTATAATTCGATCTCTGGGCTTTCACTTTGTTTTAGCTCTGTTGTGATTGTCCCACGCTGTGATACAACAGCGAAAAGCTTTGTAGATTTTTTAGATTTTTATAATGTTAGCAAATCAAAATAGAGAAACTTTGCAAAACTGAGGTTGACAACAATAACACAATAACTGATGGGTTTACAAAAACTAATGAGTTATATATTTTTTAATGCAATGGTGGAGAGGCTTTTATTTTTACTGGTCAATTTTCACAGGCTTCGTGACGCCTCAGTTTTGCAGTGACGTCATTTATACGTCACTATTTCAGATCAGCAGGAACAGCATTCTCACTTATACTTAGCCTGCGTAGCGGCCCAAAGGGAAGGGGATTGGGGACTGGGGAGAGGAAGGGGAGGGGGACTAGGGAGAGGAAAGGAGGAAGGGTCCACCTCCCCTTCCTCTCCCCAGTCCCCCTCCCCTTCCCTTCCCTTCCCTTCCTTTTGGGCCGCTACGCAGGCTAAATTATACTTTATGGAAAGCACAGGTTGCGTAGCTGTGAGGGGAAAAATCAACAACTAAATTCCAATTCCATAATGAAACGAAGGCCACAGGCTTGGTATCCACCAGCTATTAAGTTCTACCCTCGTAAAACAAGGACGATTATTTTTTTACACAGTGAGTTTGTATATATCTTATAGATGCTGAATATACTGGAGATGTTTGTGAAATCACGTGGTTATTCTTATCGACGAATGGACGGCAGCACGTCTGTATCGTCAAGACAGCCCCTCGTCAACAAATTCAACCAGGTAACTCCAATAGATTGTGTGTTTAACTAATAATATAAGCGTAGTACATAGGCCAGTGAGACGGTGATTCTTTTGGTACTTGTCGTCTAAGATCAGATTTGAGTTTGAACTAAATAGCACACTAGACGGTAACGGAGTCTACTGGATGGCCAATCAGAATGTCCTATATAGGTCACCGTGTCGTACCGTCTCAGTACTTGCCGTCCTAGAGCAATATGACTCTGAAACAATACACGGTTCAGTATTCAACCACTCATGGACCGCAAGACTTCTGCTTGGCCAATCAGAGCGTGCGAGCCGTTTCGTCTCGTGACAGTGTAATGTTCCAGGATTCTGATTAGACAAAAAAAATCCTTTCCCGAATATTTCAATTTTCAGGATCCTTCGATTTTCGTCTTCCTGTTGACGACACGAGTTGGAGGAATTGGAGTGAATCTTATAGGTGCAGACAGAGTCATCATCTACGACCCTGACTGGAACCCAAGCACGGACACACAGGCCCGTGAGCGTTCGTGGAGGATTGGGCAGTTGAAGAAAGTTACTATATATAGACTGCTGACGTCAGGAACGATCGAAGAAAAGATATATCACAGGTATGTAATGTTTGGGTAATGAGTAAATGATGATGACATGACGGTGATGATGGTGATGATTATGATTATGAATGATGATGGTGATGACGAAAGTGATGATGATGAAGATAATGATGATGACATGACGGTGATGATGGCGATGATGATGATTATGAATGATGATGGTGATGACGAAAGTGATGATGATGAAGATAATGATGATGACATAACGGTGATGATGGCGATGATAATGATTGTGAATGATGATGGTGGCTGTGATGACTGTGATGATGATGGGGATGATACGATGATGACAGTGGTGATGATGAATAAAATGTGCTTATGTGTTAGTGAGGACCAAGCTTTAATCAATAGTTATAGTTTTTCACTCTCACGGTATTATAGTTATGCAATATACAGAATTTTTTTTTTTTAATTATATTTTCTTATTTGATTATTTATATTCTTTCTTAGGGGTTTCTTTGAGGGTTGGTTAATATATTTTATAGTTCATGGGTTGGGTTCGGGTGATACACCTTGGCGGGGACTTATGTTCTATTGTGTAATTACCTGCCTTTGGCAAATGGCTTAAATAAAAATAAATAAATAAATAATAACAATGATAGTGATGGTGGTGGTCGTGGTCGTGGTGATAATGATCATGATGATGATGAATGATGACGGTGATGATGATGTTGATAATAGTAATGATGTTAATGAGTGATGACGGATATGATGATGATGATGGTGCTGATGTCGATGATCATGCTAATAATAATAATTATTATTATTATTTTCCAAGACAAATATTCAAGCAGTTCTTGACAAACCGAGTGCTGAAGGACCCCAAACAAAGGCGCTTTTTCAAGACCAACGACCTCTTCGAACTGTTCACTCTTGATGAAAGTTACAAAAAACAAGGCACGGAAACCAGCGCCATATTTGCTGGCACAAACTGCGAGATTAATGTACGTGTAAAGAAAAAACGAAAAGCTGTAGACCCAAGAGAATCTGCACAGCCGCTTAAGAAGACCAGAAGCATCGAGAAGCAGAAGAAAAAATCTAAAACAACGAATAAGATTACAACTGTGCAGGACGATGGAGGTATGATAGAGTTGTAGTTATCTCTATTCATTCGGCGCCATTTTGGAGGACAATGTTGTGTCCTACGAAATTACTTTCTTTATCATCATCATCTGTATCATGATCATCATCACCATCACCATCATCATTATCATCACCACCATCTTCACCATCATCACCA